CTCTGGATGACATCCCTTCCCTCCAGTGTGTAAACTTGGTGTTGTCAGCAAACTTGCTGCGGGTGCACTCAATCCAGCTGTCCCTGTCACCAAAAAAGATGTTAAACAACAGCACTGATACCAGTATCGAGGAATGCTACTTGTCACTGTTCTCCACTTGGACACTGAGCCGTTGACCACAACATTTGAGTGCGACCACCCAGCCAATTCCTTATCCACTGAGTGGTTCATCCATCAAATCCATGTCTCTGCAACTTAGACACAAGGATGTTGTGTGGTTTCAAATGCTTTGCACAAGTCCAGGGAGATGACATCTGTCGCTCTTGCCTTATCCACCAATGCTGTAACCCCATCATAGAAGGCCACCAAATTTGTCAGGCACAATTTGCCCTTAGTGAAGCCACGTTGGCTGTCACCAATCACCTCCTTATTTTCCATGTGCCTGAGCATAGTTTCCAGGAGGCTCTGCTCCATAATCTTGCCAGGCACGGAGGTGAGACTGACTGGCCTGTAGTTCCCTGGGTCTTCCTTTTTTTTCTTCTTAGAAATGGGTGTTATGTTTCCCCTTTTCCAGTCAGTGGGAACTTTGCCAGACTGCCAGGACTTCTCAAATGTGATGGAGAGTGGCTTAGCGACTTCATCTGCCAGTTCTATCAGGACCAGTGGAAGCGTCTCGTCAGGTCCCATGGACTTGTGCACCTTCAAGTTTCTTAGATGGTCTTGAACCTGATCTTCTCCTACAATGGGTGGTTTTTCATTCTCCCAGTCCCTGCCTTTGCCTTCTGAGACTTGGGTAGTGTGGTTAGAGCAATTGCCAGTGAAGACTGAGGCAAAGAAGTTGTTGAGTACCTCAGCCTTCTCCATATCCTGGAGAAGGTCTCCCATATCGTTCCGCAGGGGCCCACATTTTCCTTCATCTTCTTTTTATCACTGACATCCCTATAGAAGCTTTTCTTGTTGCTCTTGATGTCCCTGGCCAGGTTTAATTCTATCAGGGCTTTAGCTTTCCTAACTTGATGCCTGGCTGCTCAGACAATTTCTCTGTATTCCTCCCAGGTTACCTGTCCTTTCTTCCACCCTCTGTAGGCTTCCTTTTTGTGTTTGAGTTTGTCCAGGAGCTCCGTGTTCATCCATGCAGGCCTCTGGGTGTTTTTTCCTGACTTCCTCTTGATTGGGATGCATTGCTCCTGAGCTTGGAGGAGGTGACCCTTGAATACTAGCCCGCTTTCTTGGATCCCTCTTTCTTCCAGGGCTTTATCCCATGGTATTCTACAAAACGGATCCCTGAAAAGGCCAAAGCCTGCTCTCCTGAAGTCCAGGGTAATGAGCTTGCTGTGCACCCTCCTCACTGTCCTAAGGATCTTGAACTCTACCATTTCATGGTGACTGCAGCCAAGGCTGCCCTTGAAAAAGGAAGGGGTTTCTGCCAACTGGATGGCTTTTCTTTTAGGCGCATTTGTTTCCTTTCCCTGGGAGTCTTACTTTGTGCCTGTGAGTTTCATTGGGAGAGTAGCTGGGTCCTTTCCTTTAGGTTTGTTTATTTGTGCTGGGCCCATCTGTCTCCCCCAGTTGCTTCAGCACTGCAGAAGGAAAAAACAATAATGGCAAGGGCCAGAGCGATTTATTTGCATATGTATATTGGGTTTGCATGGCAAGGTTTTGGTAGTGGGGGGGCTACAGGGGTGGCTTCTGCAAGAAGCTGCTAGAAGCTTCCCCTGTGTCTGAAAAAAACGGCCGCAAAGATGTCCTTGCTGCGGGCCAGGGCCGAGCCAATCAGCGCCTCTGTGATAACATATTTAAGAAGGGAAAAAACAAGTTAGAGAGGGCTTTTGCAGCCAGAGAGAGGAGTGAGAAGATGTAAGAAACTCTGCAGACACCAAGGTCAGTGCAGAAGGAGGGGGAGGAGGTCTTCCAGGCGCTGGAGCAGATTCCCCTGCAGCCTGGCGTGAAGACCATGGTGAAGCAGGCTGTCCCCCTGCGGCCCATGGAGGAAGGATGAGGAGGTGTAGAGATTCCACCTGCAGCCCATGGAGGACCCCACGCTGGAATATGTGGATGCCCAAAGGAGGCTGGGACCCTATGGGAAGCCCACACTGGAGCAAGCTCCTGGCAGGACCTTTGGCCCCATGGAGAGAGGAGCCCAGGCCGGAGCAGGTTTCTGGCAGGACTTGTGACCCTGTGGGGGACCCACGCTGGAGCAGTTTGGGAGGGACTGTAGCCCATGGGAAGGATTCACGTTGGAGAAGTTTGGGAAGGACTGTCTCCTGTGAGAGGGACTCCATGCTGGAGCAGGGGCAGAGTGTGAAGAGTCCTCCCCCTGAGGATGAAGAAGTGGCAGAGACAATGTGTGATGAACTGACCGTAACCCCCATTCCCCGTCCCCCTGTGCCACTGCGGGGGGAGGAGGTTGAAGCCGCGAGCGAAGTTGAGCCTGGGAAGATGGGAGGGGTGGGGGGGGGTGTTTTAAGAGTTGATTTTATTTCTCATTCCTCTACTCTGTTTTGCCTAGTCATAAATTAGATGAATTCCCTCTCTCAGTTCAGTCTGTTTTGCTCATGATGATAATTAGTGAGTGATCTCTCCCTGTCCTTATCTCGACCCACAAGCCTTTCGTTACACCTTTTCTCCCCTGTCTAGTGAAGGAGGGGAGTGATAGAGCGGCTCTGGTGGGCACCTGGACCTAGCCAGGGTCAACCCACCACAATATCTGAAATGAGATCCCCTCAGAGGCTTGGAACATGATGCTTCAGGTAAAAGGATGATGAATGTACAGGTAAGGTTTACCAGAAAGTGAGATAAAGCTAAGATAAAGTACTGGGGAGGAACAACATTATGGTCAATTCCTTAGCGTAAGTGGGATTTTAAAAGTCTTTATCTTGTTTTGATGGTGAAAGTCTATAGAATGTGGGGAGATGAAGTGTGTCTTGTCTTACCTTCCCAAAATAATGTAAGGTACTCTGCTTCTACAGTTAATTTTATGGCTCACTTCTTTGTTGCTTTGGTTGTTCTGGATCCTTGCCTGGTTAGTCCTTGGTGGTGAGGCTAACAGTATTTCTGTTTTCCAGTAAAACCTAAAATTGCTGCTCCCTCATCATTTAGGCAAGTGAAATTTATCTCCAGGCCTTCCACTTTGTTTATTTAGTTCCAGGTATCTACTAGTTGTCATAGGTGCTGAGTTTCCTTATGGTAGCATAAAACTGATGGCTGTTATTTTTCAAAAGCAACTGTCAAACAGCAGGTATGTTTTTTTAGGGGCCATGTCATAACTATACCCAAAAAGGAAATTTTACTTCTACACTTGAAACATTTTTGCATTTACCTTACAGAAGACACTAATGCTGTCAAATTCTGCTTTCATGTAATTTACACATATTCATCTTTTTCCGGTAATTATATACTAAATTTGCAGTGAGAATTGATAGAAGGTATGTGTGCATATATGTGTGTGTGTACTTCTTCCTCAAAAACTTTTAGGATACCACAGTCCTGTTTTTGAGGCCAAGTGTTTGAACAATAAAACCTTGATTTCTCCCTCCAAGCATATCTGAAGAAGCCTATGCCAGTAGTTTCCTCTAGTTTGAAAGCATATGGTTTTCATTTTGCTTTGACTTCCAGTACCTTTCAAAATATAACGGATTAAAAATATACTGACAGAGTTTGTAGATGATTTGCTAAAAGATAAACAATCCTTTCTTTCAGCAGTTTTTTATAAGTTGTTACTAATGGTACAATACATACTTTCCTCCACTTAGTCTTTCATTATAGGCTGGACTTGTATAAACTGCTAAGCTGTGTCAATGTCCGTATTCTCATAATTAATAAATATGCTTATAAAGTATTATTTGCTTCCTTTGATTGATCAGGGATTGTTATAACTGCTGCTTCTCTTAAGCCTTTCATTTCCCAGGTTTGTCACAGTAGAGATCCATACGTAGGGTAGCTGCTGCACAGAAGTTAGTGCAGAGCAGGCACCACAAGATAAATTCCAAAATGGTTTGTATATCTGATTGCTGCCAGAAGCATCCATTGAAATGTGGATTCTCAAACTGAATTTCCTGAATGCTTCTGTTTCTGCCAGTATTATTCTGTAAAAGTCTCAGATAATCGTTGGGTCAGTGGGTGAAGCACCTCTGGGAGAAATGTCTGGAGCTGGCAATTTTTTGAGAAGGAGCTGTTGAGGTCTCTCAATCCGGCATGTCCCTGAGGACTGTGGCTGCAGTAGGGCAGGGATGCCCCCAATCAGTTCTGTTTTATTAAAACATACAGTTATTTCTGTGATTTCTGTGTCCTGGTCAGTATCAGCATTCTGACCCTGTCATTTCTAACAAGCAGAAGCATCTTTGAAAGCAACTGTGACAAAAGAAAAAGCCTAGTTACTTGGCCATTTCAGTTCCCTACCTTCATTAACAACCAGATCAAGTTTAGGGTTTTTTTTCTTTATTTTTCAAGAAGGAGAGAAGGTACAGATCAGTGAGCGGCATATTTCATCTCTTCCAAGAGTTAGGTTTTTCAGGGAGGGGTGATAGAGCAAACATCTAAAAAGAGGTGTAGTTCCACAAGTGGGGTTCAGTACCTGGTGTGCAATAAGCCAATCTTACACACAGAGCTGAGATATTTATTTATTTCACGTCTGCGCAGAGATGGGTGCTAGGTGGTAATTCCACAAAACTAGCACACTAAAAGGAATTACAATGTATTTGTTTTGTTGCATAATTAGAAAAGCCCACCTAAATTTATGCTCATTGGTTAGTAATTACTATATTATCTGCTATTGGTTAAACATATTTAATTAACACACATGCTCCTGGAGGAGTGGGGTGTGTGTGTGGGTAATTTGCATAGTCCTTTAACTGAGTCAGTGGTGATCTCCCCCTGCCACCTTTAACCTTCCCCCCAGTTACTGCAGATTTTTGTTGACTTCATGCTTCCTTGACAATCATCCACTTTTCTGCTTCTGGGACAAGATGTTCCCCTTTTATCAGCCTTTTAGTTCTTCTTCAAGTATAGTCGTTAGCAAGGCATGCATTGTTTATGCAAAGTAATCAGGCTTACATAATAAGGCTAATGATCAATAGTCCTCCTTAGAAGGCCAATGTGGCATTTTTAACCCTAAATTAAACAGTGTCACTATATCCTAAGCATTAACCCAAACATGGTTTTAGTCTACAGAGGGACCACTTGTAAGGAAATACGTAGTTTTCAGTAGGCTAGTCTTCTTAGGGGGCCTTTCCTGACACCAAAAGGGACTTCAGCCTGACTTTGAAACTTTATTTTATTCTGGGAATTAACTTCAGACCCACAAAAGGATGGAGGTGCCATTATAACTAGGTGTCTAATTCCAGCAGAAGAATCCACGGCCCTGACTAAAGTACCTAAGCTCTATGTAGAGCAAGCAAGAATGTGCCTAATAGTAAGACTATCATCTGAGCTAGCTAATGGAGGGAAACTCTCAACCTACCCTGTTCAAATAATTGATAACTAATAACTAATTTAATCTTAATTAGGTCAGAGATCAAAATTGAGCCTAAATTTCTGCCCTAATGATGAGAAGGCTTTCTGGGCAATTTCTTGGGATTCAGTCCCAATATATTATGTTGCTCCTCTTCATAAGACTATACAGGGCTGGATCAATATTCCAATAAAGTAGCTAGTAAATTGAGGGCATAAAGAAATTAAATAGCATACCCAATGTCATGGTGGGGGGCTATAGAGTAGGTTCAGGAACCACATTCTAGTCTGCTGATGCCTTAAGATGAAAGTTTATCTTTGCTTTTGATATCAACAACATGAGTCTTGATCACTTTTTTTTTCCTTCAGAACTGCCTGGTGTAGAACCTATCTTACCTCTGAGATAGGTTGTTGTTTCAGATCTGCTTTGTAACATAGCTAAACATTAATATTTTTGTGTCCTTTTTGTGCTTATAGAATCCATTGTGTTTCCAGTAACGTACCTTAACATTTCCAAGGATTTGGCTCTTCAGCAGCTCCTGGTGGAATGGGATGTTGGCAAGTCAGCCCATGATGCTGAGCTGGCAATGTCTTTTGAAATACAAGTCCATCGAACAGATGAAAATACTACTGTATGGACAGTAAGTGTATTTTTAAAAAAGGTGTATTAGTTATTTACAATATAAAGGAAGCTAAAGGAAAGTCAAATGTTCAGATGCGTATGCAGATCACTTTGCTATATAGTTTTACGATTTACAACATGGTATTTATAAAACTGTACTAGAGATACATCCGTATTTCAGTAGGTGCCAAACTCGGTCTAATGGTATGCCCAGTTTTTGTGCAAAAAAAATCTTGACTCCGATGAAGAAGTCATTTCCACCTGTGCAGAATATTGATATGCCTTGCATACCCATATTGAGGGATTGTGGTGTGCAGGCTTAGGAGATATGATTTTGAAGGCCTCTGTTTGCCTGTCAAGGTGCAGGACCCCTAAGCAGCCTCCCAGAAACATCCCTTCCATTGCTCCTAAAGGCAGTCTCTTTTTTTATAGCATGATGGCCACCCTTCACTGGGGACTAACTGAGCGTGAGTCATGTTGCTGCCACTCCTTTCACCTTATGAACCAAATGATGGTCTCAGTGTGAGTGAAGCCTTTTAAGCCTGGTGCTTGGCCCTTTCAGCAGTTACTTTATACCCACCTGTTCCAGTTAAGGAAGAAGTAGTGATGTCTCTTTTGCAAAGTCCCTATTCTGCTAGGGACTTTCTGAAGAGGTGGGGATCACCCAAATCATAGGCTTAGGCCTGCTCCTGATGTTTTCCCCAGTTCGTGACTTCAGTGTGAGAACTTTTGTCTCCAAAGAAAATTTCCTCTCCTTTGGATCTGACAAAATCTTTTGGGAACTAAATGCATGTTTTAGGGATATTATAACCTACTATGAGTCATCTGCTGATTGAACTATGGAGGAATATGAAATGCACATGTTAAAACTTAGTAAAACTGGAAAACTGCTTTAGCTCATTTAAAGTTGCTATTTCTGAGAAACCACATAAAGCAGAGAAGGGATTATTTTTCTGAAACCGTAAGTCAATAAAATGAGATGGGCACTGTTAAGAATTATAACTTACTCTGATCTGCAAAGTTGGTAGTATTTTGTCTTTGAGTTTGAAGAACTGCATCTTCAGTGCAGATGAGCTCTATGCAGTTCAGATTTTGATCACTTTGATACATTGGGTAGGATTTAGTAGAATAGATCTAACCCTGAAGTCAGAAAGTGGGACCATATACCTAGAAGCAACTGTTTTTTTGGAGTATGCTTCCAACAAACTCTTCTTAACTGCTTAGGAGAAAGAGTTTTTCGCATCCAAGGATGTAATCTGTTCTGTTATTCATAATAAATACAAGAAAAACAAATATGGTGTTTTGGCTATCACTACCACACAGGAATGTATTTGTTTCTGTGTTTTTCTGAAGAATGTGTATTAATAAAGAAACTCTGTGAGTCTGCTTATACCAAAGCACAGACAGTCTGTATAACTTCCAAATCAGTGACTACATTTCTCAGTGTGATAACTGAGAAATTAAATTGTGAACTGATTGCAGAGTTTTTCTCGGAGCGGTGATATTATGAAAGTGCAGGTGTTGCTGATGAAGAGCAGTAACGGAGAGCAGTTCTCTAGTTGTGTGAGCCAGGGCTCAGCTACAGCTCCTACAAGCAGCTTGGATCTATATGCTGAGAATCTGGTACGGTTGCTTTAAGAAGTACTGAAATATATGTTCTGTTCTAAAATGTATTCATAATTACAGGTGATTAATAGAGCCATTTCTTCCTGCTTCTTATGGGCTCTCATGCCAGGAGCGATTCACACTTGGGGTACATTTTCATCTGTTTGTGTGACTACATGGTGCCCTTGTTAGTTTGAGTTGTTAGTTGAGGATGTCGTCTCTTAGAAAGCAGCAGAACATTTTATATTTTTTGCTGTTTGTCTGCATTTATGTCATACGATAAAAAAATTACAGAGCATTTAGATCTTATGATTTTTGAACTCCATTTTGTATTTTAGGCTGTTCTTCTTCTGTTACCTTCGTGGAGCTCTAAGTTTTGGACATGCTTTTTCATGTTTCTTGCACATGCATATTAGACCAGTCAAACATTTTTGGGAAATCAGCAGTTATTTTCCTACTCACCCTGTCACTGGTGGTACTACTGTACTCAGAAGCTGTGCCTCAGAACTGCAATGATGTATCATCTGCATAAATCCTTACTGGCCAGTGCAGAATCCTGCTGTAATTCAGAGCCAGGAATATGTAACCCAGAACATGAGACAAGGTGCACTTGCAGGCAGCAGCATCTGTGCATGCTATTAGTTGTGTGATAGCAGGCACAGATAACCCACTGAGAGCGAATTCATTTCATGAGAAGCAGGGCCTGACTCACAACTATGCTGTCAGAATCAAGTAGTCTTGCCAGCACATCAGTCACTCTACTGCTGCTAGTGCAGATTTGTAAGCAGTTACTTAGCTTACTGGTACTTAGATCATGTGTAGTAAGTGGGATTTCAGAGATTCATTTTTCAAAAGCATTTTCCTCCTTTGAGGTTTCTCCTCTCACTGCTTTTGGTTGTATTTCCAAAGTCTGCACATCGCTGTGTTTTCAATACCTTGTCTTACTGGCCTTTGTTTGTAGGAGTTCCATAACATCACACTTGATAGATCAGGAAAGTCTCTTCGTTGGATATGGGATTCAGATTTACCGTTGGAGTGTATGTCACACTCAGTGAGAATCAGGAGCAAAGCAGAAGCATCAAAAATCTGGAGTCAGTGGAGTCTGTGGGAGACTGTCCTGGGTGAGCAAAACAAGACTTTGCAACATTTATTTTATTTTTTTCCAGTAAAAAGCTAGATTGTAATTCACCGGTGACTGTAATGGTGAAGTCCAGTTCAGGAGAAACGGCATCAAATCAAGAATACATTTTGAACTCTTTTATCTCTAAGCACTAACCAACTCAATTTTTTTTCCTTTTTTTCTTTTTTTCTTTTTCCCCTGGTAATAATAGCAATAATAGGAATGGCTTCAGCCATTGCTTTAATTTGCAGACTATCTTCTTAAGCTAGTAGACCAAAAGTTTTAGAGCTTTTCTTGCTCACACATTAAAACAATGCAGTACATAGAGTGGCATGGGATCTCGGATAGGCTCTAGCGCAGGCTGTGACCAGATCAGACACAGCCCTGGTCCAGACTGGGGGAGAGGAAGTGCATAGCTATGGCTACATTGTCTGATGCATGTGTTGTTTTTGTCTGGGGTTCATAGCTTTGATTAGTATGAAAGAAGCACAGAGAGAGGAGCAAGTCAGCTCCTTATATCATTTGGAATGAACTTCTGTGAATTACATGAGGGTAAACAGGCAGGGAACCAATAACGTAATTAATGATATCACAACCCCCTTCTTTTTTCAGATTGCAATGTCTTACTAGAACAGTTTGGTTTCCAGAGAATTTGGTTTAGAAAAAAAAAAAAAGTAACTGCTTTAGAAAACATCACTACAGTGATTTTGTGAAGAAACAATATTCTTGTTTGGAGCAGGAAGGGGTATCATGGGAGTAGGAGAATCACAGGTCTGTATACTTGACTTGTGGCACACAAATTGCCCATTCTCTAACCTTATATAATGGGAAATAGGATGCAAGACTGCCTTTCTCACTAACCTCAATCTTGGAGATTTTGTTTTTTCAGTTGAAATTGGAGAGGGATCAAAAATACTATTTCTTTGTCACAAACTGATCCTGCATTACAGACCTGATTTAGAGCTCTCTGAAAGATAGTGACTCTAGATTTGATCAGATTTTTGAGAGTAGATTTTATCTCCAACTTGTGCAAAAACCTGTGAGTCACTTAAATCCCACTAATTTTTGCATCCAGCAAGGAGTGCAGCATTGAGCACCACAGGAGTCTCATTCCAAGTTGAGTATCCCCTTACTGATCTGATTCATTCATTGTTGACTTCTCTTAGCTGAGCTCTGCATGAGCTTCAGAACATGACATTTTTCTAGCCCCCTGCCTAGAATCTTCAAGAGCAGTCATTTTGGCTGTAAGTATCAACTTGTTCACAGGCGCAGGAGGTAGTGTTCATCTGTAAGTGCAGTTCTTGAACGCACACTCTTTGTTTTCCCTAAGTGAAAGGCTGTGAGATGGATTTAGTCTCTTAGGTGGTTTGTTGGACTACATTGTATGTTTATGGGTTTAAGATATAGATATGATTATATGTGAAATTGACCTTTGTGTGGGGAAGATGACTAAATAAAAGTCCTTGAAATGATAATATAACTTTAGCAGATTCTTGTGTAAATGCTCAGTTATGTGTTCTGGTTGAAGGCTACTGCCATGAGTGGATTTTGAAATGGTTTATTATGTATTAAATTGCAGGCCTGGACACTTCAAATAACAGTGGACCACAAATCTTTCCAGATGAAAAAATTGTAGAGGAAGGCTCTGACATCACACTTTGTTGCATTGGAAGGAAAGGTCAAATCATTAAGGATTTCATTCTAGCCACAGATGTTCATGTTTTGAATCACACAAGCAGTCAAGGTCAAGTCAGACTTCTCACTGTGAAAAACGTGGCACATCACGTGCCTCACATCAGTGTCTGCTGTCAGGAGTCTTCCAATGGAGACCGATACTGTGATTATGCAGTATTTTTTGTGGGTAGTAAGTGAATACTTTATTACAGCTGTATTTTCGTGTTGTTATTCAGTCAAGATTGGCTGTTGGGAATGGGGGAGAAAAAAAAAAAAAGCTTTCTGTTAAGTTCTCATTGTTCTGTTATGTCCAGCTGAACTCCGTCTGACTTCAGATCTGTAAAATTGCATAGAGAAAGCATTAAAGAATAGCATTAAATGTATTCAGATTAATCTCATTAATTGATCCTAGGACAGGTGACTGATTTTTTAAATATGCCTACCCATTTAGGAGTTTAGCTTCACTGTCTATGTGCATGTGGTAAAAACTCAGCATAGTTCCCCTTTTGAAGGCTAGTAGCAATTTTTACAGATAAAAAACAATATAGAATAAATTAATGATTGTATGAATATAACAAAAACTAATAACAAACAGAAGTGTTTGGATTGCAATTACGGTTTTATCCTGATTTTCTTTCCAGAGTGGTCATTGACTAATTGAAATAATATCATCTGTAGTAAACCAGAGTTTGTACATATCCATTATTTCTAGTTTGTTAGTATAGTAAAAAGGTTGATGACTTTTGCCTTGACTGCCATGCTGTTGGTGGGTTTTTTTTTTTATTCCCTCTGACAAGAACCGCCTGATACACCTAATGATTTTTCCTGCCAAACTCAAGACATGAAAATAGTAACATGTACTTGGAGCCAAGGAGGAGACACCTATCTTTATGGACGTTATTCATCAAAATACACCTTGTTTGAAGAGTAAGTCTCCTCGTTGTTATATTAACTCTGGCCTGTGCTCTAACAGTCATGTTCTTTCCTTTAAAATGCGTGGAAATGTTTTTTATCCTTGTTGCAATTAGTTGCCTTCCTCTTTCCAGCTCACTGGTGAGCTTATTTAACAAAGCTTGAGCAGTGCAAAACTGCTCTGAATTAGACTACCTTAACAAAATTGCAGGTCCAGCAGACCAGGTTCTGCTTGATAAAGCTTGTTCTAACTATTCTTTTGAGCTAATTTGTTTGGATATCTTTCAGTAGGTGTGAAGACACCCTGCAATCAGGATATAGATAATTTAAAAGTATAACATAATTGTTAGGTAACACACACACCAGGTAACTAGGATTTAATCAGCTGTTACGCTGAACATTAGTGTGTTCACAATCCACTGACACAATGCTGACTCTGACTGATGATTCCCAGCTAACCCTCAGTTAGCCTGATTAGCTTCCCTAGTTCTTTTCTTTAGGATTTTATAACTTTATAACTAACCACATGCTGGTGTTTTCCTTCTTAAGTCCTTGAGCTACTGACAATCCTATCTCAAAAATCCTACTTCTGTCTATAATTTCTATAATTTCAGCTTTTTTTTTTTAAAGAGAAAAAAATATCTCTGCAGACTTTCTTACAGCTCTTTTTAGCATTCTGAGTCAAGGTTACAGATATGTGGCGTATCAGATCTGGCCCTTGGCTCGTTGCTGCAGAGGCATCTAAATGGAGAGGAGAGGGGCTTTACAGCAGGGCCTGCAGAGAAAGGGGATCTCATAAAACAGGACAGATGCCTCATCACCACAACAAACTTTCAACAAAAGGTCTCAGCAGAAGTCAGGTCATCATTGCATATATCCTCATAGTCTCTGCATGATTCACTTCCATTAAGATATGCTGATGGTGATTTAAAAATAGAAGGTTAGACGATGCATTTGAAATTACTGCTTCATTTAAAAGCATAATGCTAGTATCTGAATGTTTTAATTCTTGGCAAGTCCCTAGTTTAGAATTTCCATGAGGAAATCACTAAAAGCAATTTAGCTCTATCTTAAAAGGATAAAGTAAACTTAGCTGCATCTTAAAAGGATAGCAATTTAGCTGTACCTTAAAAGGATAAAGTAAACTTAGACTTTGAAGAAAATTTTCATCTAATTGTAAGAATACCTATATTCATCCTACTTCAGGCTAGGGGAAAGAACTGGATGACTTCTTATAGTTGCCCCCAGCCTTATTTTTTATGATGCTGTATTCTAGTTGGACATCAAAAATGTCAACAACTGTGTTGATTTTACATTATGGAAAAATGTCTTTCTCTCTTTTCTCTCCTTCCGCCTGCCCACCCTCGCCCTTCTTTGATAGGTTTTCCCAAAAACCGGTTCTGTGCACAGTAAGTTGTTCTGAGCGGTGCTCGTGTTCTTGGAATATAGGCCAGCAGAGGATCTGTAATATCACGTTGACTGTGGAAAACCCACTGGGAAAGAAAACTGCCACGGATGTTTTTGATGTAACTCACAGAAGTAAGGTCTTTTCTATGTCTTTGTTGAGTTTTTTTTTGCTGCAGGCCTTGTTTTCCTTCTGATCTTAATACTTTAGTGCCCCAGTTTAAAGTATGGAAATCCTTGATTTTTATCTTCACAGGTTTTTTTCAGTTACCTGTCCTTGTGCTGTAGTTAGTTATTTGCTGTCTCTTCAGCTTTGCAAGGTTGTGTTAATGATAGAGAAAAACTTCAAAGATCAAATTTTGTTATTGAAATGACCCCTTAATACTTCAAAATCTGCTGCTTTGCTGAAGCTGGTTCATAGTATAGGAAGCACCGTGATACAAAGATATAAAATGGGAAGTTAAAGAAAAATATCTGTGTAGGTTACTTGAGAATTTTGTCCTTTCTCCAAAATATTATTGCTGATGTTACTGTCTTTCCACATTTTGAAAAGTGGGTAGATAAAATTACTAACACCTCTCCAAATGAGATGTGATTCAGGTGTAAGCAGCTATTGCCAGGAAAGAGGTAATAGTGCTAACCTGTCTTGGTGCTAATATGGGACAGTAACATCTGCTGTGCTACTGTAAGGGAGGAAGAGTAGTTCATCATCAGTGAAATAAAACAGGTTATTTTGTGAGCAGTAACTGATGGCTGTGGTTCCTTCTTCCCTATTAGTTGTGTCCTTTATCACAGTGTGCCCCAGGTCCCGTAAGTTTCTACCTACTCCTCCCTCAAAACAGCTGGGTATTTTCTTTGTCTCCAGCAGTATTTCTGGTTCTCCTTGGGTCCTCTAGCCCCACGACATCCACTTCCGTGTTCCCAAGTCCTGTGGCCACCTTACTTGTTTGAAGAAGCAGGAAGAAACATGAGCTTTGCCTAGTTCTGAAGCTGACAGGCTGATGGACGTGGAGGCTGCTGGTGTAACTGCTGCATTCTGGCAGCGCTTCCTTCCTCAGAGGCACTGATTACAGTTTTGCTAGACACGCTTTTTTGTATGACATACATTAAATGCCTGTCTCTGTTAAATTTGTCTCAGAGGCATGAGAGTTGTAAAAGTTGATCATTTGACTGGGGGTAGAAGAAATAGAGCAGGAAGAAAGTGGAGGAGTAAACTAACAGGTTGTAGTGAGACAACATAATATTATAAACTATGTTTTCATGGGAAATCAGGCTAAAATAGGTTACATTACAGGTGCTAAGTACATTAAAATTTTACTACAATTTTCTTTTTCCAGTTCTAGTGATTGTTACAAGTTAAAGAAATTATATATAGTATTTATGATCAGTTAACATTTTAAATAGTGATTACTCTAAAGTCCTTTATGTTTTCTCTGATCCTGGACATATTTACAGTAGTATTTTCCTTACCTAAAGGATGTCAGCAAGTCAAGGAAAACTGAAGTCTATTGTTTCCAATTCTGCATGTGGTAGATGGGACCTTCTGTGCCAAACACAAGCTCCTTTGAGTCTGGAAATCCTCAAATTATAATTCATGGTCCATGAAGTTCTAGGATAATGGCCAAAGCTGTAAACATACCACTCATTCACAGTGCCATGTCTTATTCCTTGCAATTGGGCTGATAACAAGGGAAAGTGTGAGATCTGCTGCTCTCGCTGAATACTGGTTACATAGTAGTAAAGGATCTCAGCAATATTTTGGAAGAAGTAGCAGTGAGATCTGCTGCTCTCGCTGAATACTGGTTACATAGTAGTAAAGGATCTCAGCAATATTTTGGAAGAAGTAGCATTGGCACTGTTTACCAGAGGGTAACTGCTGGCAGGAGTCAACGTAAGAGTTGTGAATAAAATTTCTGGTGAGGAGGCTGGATTCTGGGTTCTAGAAATGTGGCAAATGTTACTCACCATGCTACATCAGGAGCCTGCGCCAGGCCTTGGATTAAAGATTTTTTTACTGGATTTCCAATAAAAGTCTCTGACTCTTGTTCATCAGTACAAGGGGGTTTTTAATCTTGTATAACATTTACTTAAATTCTGAAATTAATTTTTACTAATTTTTATCTGCTTCTCCTAGAGTGGCAGAAAAATCTATATTTCTTATTTGCTTTTACTACTCAGCTAAAATACCTTAAAATATTTTTGCATATATTTTATGTTTTACAAGAGCTAACTAAGATTTTCCATTGGCAGTTTATCCTGCTGCACCTTTACAGCTGTGGGAAGAATGCACAGGTACAGAAATCACATTATATTTGGAACATCAAAACAAAGGAATTGAACTCTTTTGTCAGACTGAATTGCTCCAACCCGATGGGAAGGTAGAACTGGTATGAAACCTGAATTTCACAAAGACATAGCAATTTTTTTTTTTTGACATGAGATTAAAAAATAATTCCCCAGCAATATGAATACACTCTAAATCTTAGTGGGGATGTGTCTGTTTTCTGGATTTGTTTGCTCCCAAGCTCCACACTGATGATGTGGTCCACATGGGCAGCCATTGCTGGCACGAATTCATACTCCCAACACTTCCTATAGTGCTGCCAAAGTGTATGGTGTGACTGGTTTGCATATGTGGCTCTGTCCTCTGCTGGATGGGTTCTGAGATTTGTTGAAGTAAATGAAAATACTTATGGGGCTTATAACTGCTGTTAGCTATTGCTGTTCTTGATTCATCATGTCTTTATGACTCATATCATCTTATACACAAATGGTGGAGAGGTATGTTGAAGGCTTTTTTTATATTAGTCCAGGAGCTTTCTGTGTACTACTGACTGTACTTGATGGTAGTGTGTCTGGTTTCTAGTGAGGGAACCCCAGAACAGTTTTTCTTCCCATCCTCTTCCATCTTGAGGATTATTTGAGTAGACTCCTTGTCTTCTTCCACCTCTTTCACAAACAGTGAGGCTAACTGACTCTTTGCATGCACACTGAGGTTTCTACGTAGCCCTTTTCTTATGAAGGCAGCTTGTCTCTAGTGTATTAAAAAGGCATTATGAAGATCAGGATCAATCTGTGTTCTGTCTTAAGTACTGCTCAAGAGCTGTTAGATCAAATGGCTGCTGCAGTTGACCATTGCAGGAGACAGTTTAGAGGAGAGGCCTAAAAGCATGCTCACTTATTGACTCCTACCAGAACTCACCCTGTCTCTTAGGAGGGAGTGGGGTAAAAGTTTGGGGAAAAAATAGAAAGAAAATGTAGCTGTAGATGCTGTGCATAGATCTGGAACAGCACCCTACTTACATGAACTTTCAGTTCTTACATGAACTAAGAGACTCGGACTCTGTGAGGATAAGATCTCAGTAAATTCCCTTCTTGATGTAAAGAGTAGTCATTTGACAGGTTGTGAGTGACTCCTACTCAGACAGTTACACAGAGATGGCTTGCAGACCTCTTTGGATCTCCCAGTCTTTTGATCTTGTGCATATCTTTTTTTTTTTCTTTTTTTTTTCTTTTTTCTTTTTTCTTTTTTCTTTTTTCTTTTTTCTTTTTTCTTTTTTCTTTTTTCTTTTTTTTCCCTACTATTGTTCCATGATTATCTTCTCAAAGTCAAGCTTAACTGGCTATTGTAGGGTCTAGAGGAAGAACTATTTTTTCAGAGAAAAATGTCTTGCTAGTGAAGCCGAACTGAGCTCTGACTGTTCTGTTTTTCTGTCTTGCAGCATAATGCGAGTTCAGACTTGCGTGTCTGTAACACCATCACCTTGGGTGGACTGCAGCCATACACTGAATACACAACTAGAGTACGCTGTGGGGCAGCTAAGCATTTCTGGAGGTGGAGTGAATGGAGCAAAGCCCGAACCATCAGAACAAATGAAACAAGTATGTCCAGCCTATTGAGAAGGGAAGCTTGAAGGATGTTCTTCACTTGCCGCCTCTGCTTGCTATTTGTTGCTACTCTTCTGCTGTGTAGCTAAAGCAGAGGCCTGTTGTATAAAAGTAGAAGCACACTAAGCAAACTTTAAGAAGGTGCCTTCTGAAACAACTCTCATCCTACCTGCAATCTCAGCCATTTCATCCAGTGCGGGTAGTGGGAAGTCCAAATGACTGGGGGGAATGGACAGAGTTAGTGTGCTGTGAGGGCTGGAGGAAAGGGAACAAGGCAGAGGTGGGAACAAGCACCTGGGAACTGCAAAGGAAAGAAAGATTTTCTAGAGAAATGAACCAGACATTCACTCAGATAAAAGAATGAAAGGAGAGAGAAGTTAAAGGATAATGTTTTGGCAAGACCTGGGAGTGATGGGGAAAAACAGGTTTTGGGTGTGGAATTTCTTCAAATGGGAGGAAGTAATTCATAGAATCACAGAATAATGGGTTGCAAGGGACCTGGCAGATCATCTGGTCTAACCTTTCTTGGCAAAACAAATTAAACAGTTTATCCTCGCTGCACCTACAGCATCTTTATTTTGCTGTTTATTTTGTATCTTTTGTTTTGCTGTTTATTGTAGCTCCATCAGGGAAACTGGACATCTGGAGAGAAATTACACCAGTTCTGGGGGGGCGGAATGTGACCTTGTTCTGGAAGGTGAGACCTCAGTACAGAAACAAAACTCTTCATAAAGGGGATGGAAACTTCTCCCATCAACGTTAATAAGTTTGTGTGCACTTAATAGCAATTCAGTATGAAAATGTCTTTTAAAAATCTAAGACAAATATTAAATATTATATATAACATATTTCAGAACATATATAGCTGTATGATGGAGTGCTGTCCTGGCATTTCAGACATATACTTCTGTTTGTCTAAGTATTGTAACAAGACAAATCCCATTACTGAGATTTCTGCATTTCCATTTCAACCAATATATATATATGCATGTATGGAAACAAGTGTTTATATTCTTATAGAAATAATACATCAAATTAGTTATTCAAAGTTCTAAATTCTCCTCTCTTTTTTTTTTGGCAAAGTTTACTAAGTAATTGGTGTCTACATCCATAAATTTTTCCCCAGCAAGGAACAAGTTTTCGAGCAAATGGAAGAAGTATTTCATATGAAGTAACCTGGGAAAAAGTAGAAGATGGCTCTAAGCCTGAAAAAATCTCTTTTTCATCAGTCTACAATAGCACAAGGATTTCCATTGATAACCATTCCTACAGAATCAGTATCATAGCAAAGAACAATGTTAATTATTCACTTCCTTCAGTATTGATCATCCCTAGAGCTACAGGTAACAGTGGGAGTATTTTCAGTTTTATTTCCCTTATGAGAGTTTTGTTTCTACCTATTTTAAATGAAGTGATAATTTGTCATCTTGCGGGAACAAATTAACTGGCATGTTAACTAAAATCACTGCTATGTGGAAATTAATACTGTATTATTTTTGCCTACAGGGTGACAACTATATATATTAAGTACAAGTGCCTTGATCCATCCCTTACAACAGAAAGTCTTTTTTGCAGAGAGAGGCTCTGCAGAGCAAAACACATTCAATTTAGCCTTAAGCTAGGGCCTCAGACCTATGGAAGGTGCTGTGAAGGTGCAGCCAGTGCCTTGCAGGGAACTCTTGTGTGTGATAAGCCTCTTGTGACTTTCTGTTTATGGCTCCGGGTTTCTGCAGTTGAGTTCTTTTTATGGATATATAGTAATAATTACTGAATGCTTTTTGAACTGTCAGCTTTCAGTATATGAGGAGGTCAATCTTCAGCATGTGAAAGATCCCATATGTCTGATAGTGAAGGAACATAACTATTTTATTATTGTTTTAGCAGCTAAGCATAGAAACTATATTGATCTTCTCTTATGAATCTGAGGTCTCACAGAGGAAAATAACAGAGACTCTGTTTCGTTCATTCCCAGGCACTGAAGAGGTTAAAGAAGAACAGGTTAATGGGACAGATGATGGCATTTTTATTTCCTGGGAGCCCAGACATACATATGACAGTTACATTATTGATTGGTGTAACTTTCCAATGTTTCAGCCTTGTGATTTGCAGTGGAAGAGATTTGAGCCCAACACTTCCAGTGCTCTGATCAACTCAGGTGACAATTTTTCTTTCTGATACCTGTGCAGCAATCTTTCATGCTCTGGGCATTAATTGAATTTAGGAACAAATCCTGTGGAATATTGTAGTCTGTACAGTGCAGGTGTAATTCTTCAAAGGCATGTGACATCATGTTTTGCCTAGCAAATTAATTAGACACCACAAATGTGCCAGCACCATTAAGCCTTGGAAGTCAGCATAGTATTTTAGAAAAAAACTCTTCTGAATAGCTTGTAGGAGGATGATGAACATCTTAAAGGAGGAAGGTGAGATTAATGGAGGAGTTAAAAATCTTTTAGCAGGAGAGATGCAAAATGGAGCTCTGCCTTATCTGTAACACCGGTCAGAAGTTTAGACTTGGGCAATTTAACACCCACTGTACAGTGAGAGGTGTAGTCCTGTCAGTGTGACGCAAATAATGCGTCATAGGACCAGCTGTGTGGGTTTTTTACCCCAGTGGTAGCCACTAGACCTAAATCCTTTTTTGGCTGTGTGAAAGTTCCTCTGATATATATCCAGGAGCATAGTCTTCCTGGAGTCTCTCGAGCTGAGAGTTCACTTTGGAATGGAACACGTTTGAACAAAATTTGTCTGGACAAGTCAATATGCAATAAAGGCACTGCACTTTAATTCATACATACAAACACATGGGAGCCTGCATCCTTACTGAAGGAGAGTGTGGTAACACATGGAGAAAAAATGTCCAATTCTTCAGTGGGTTGCACTTGGATAATCTGAATGGGAGTGGATGTCAGTGAGGATAACCATGCCTTGATGGAATCCTGTTGCATGGGTACATGTCCACATTAAACAGTCCAAAACATGACCTTTGCCTGTGCCAGAAATGGAAATGAAATTACCTTGCTCTTTGATGTATGCGGAGTCTATTGTGCACTCATCTTTAATACTTTAGAGCAACAAAAATATATTAACCCCCTCTGTCAGTTCTCTCCTTCAGATAGAATAAATGTGTTCAATTCACATTAGGCACACTAAGAATTGGTTTACCCTGTGTCTCCTTCAGTTGCTTTAAAAGCACAATAGCACAGAAAGAAGATTTCTAATGGCTTATAGACTCTTGAGAAAGCAGTTAAGTAAAAGCAAAACCAAAAGACAAACCATAACCTATTTTTGTAATCAGTTCAACTCTTTTTCAGCTGCTTTTGTTCCGGGGGTGAGATACAACTTCCACATCTATGGATCTGTTGCTAATAGTGCCTCTTTACTGGAGAAGAAGACTGGTTATCTCAGGGAGCTACGTAAGTTGGCAACATGTTTAGGGTTTGTGTATTTGCTGAATTCATTCATCACAAACAGAAGAATTTCACAGCCTTCCTCCTGTAACTATCTGAAAACATATTTGCTGTGTCATTTCTGTATCATCAGTGAAGCATTTAAAAGTTGTACAATAATGTACATGGGCCTACATTGAGGATATTTGGCCAGTACAGTGACCAGGTGGAGTCCATGTTAATTAGAATAGCTAAACAAACTTGTGATTAGCAGTCACTGATTCATGTATAATGTGGACTGTGTGAAGGCTCTGTGGAGTTGAGAGGTTTTGTGGAGTGCTTTGGCTTTGCTCAGCTTTTAAATACAAGTAAGATATAAACAAAAACACCACGTGAGAATTTAGACCTTTTCAAGTGAGAAGATAAACATTCTTCTAAAATAATGGCAAGTTTAACTTGAATTTCCTTTCTTCCAGCTCCTCTGCCTGACCCTACTGTGGAAAAAGTTGAACTGTCTTTCAATGCAGTAACACTGTCTTGGGATTCCTACCACACAAATGAGTCACAGCCTGGTTTTGTAAGAGGCTATCATGTTTATGTGTCACCTACACAAGAGAACTGCAATTTGAAAGGATCCAAAAAACATGTTCTTCCAGGTAAGTGAGTTCTGAGATTTAGGAATTTGTATTGTTGATACAGGTGAAAGTCTTTGTGGCAGTTGCTGATACTGCAGCTTAGAAAGTTCTCATTAGGCAGGCAAATTGGCTTATTAGGCAATATATAGATTTCAACACCTGCTGCTTTTGATTCCTGTCTAATACTTGAGGCGCTAATGGGCGGAAGGGGGTCCTGGCTTTTTACAGATTTGTGGCCCCTGTCCTGTTGTCTGTAGCTCTGTTTAACTCCAGTGTGAGCTCCAGAAAAGGTTCTTGCAGAACTGTAGGAGGAGTCAAGTTTCTGCCTCTTGTGATCTGAGTTCAGGATGAATTTCAGAAACATCTGTTTGTGGTCTTCTTGGATAAGAGTCATAGGAAGCAAGTTAGTTTTACTAGGATTTGGGATATTTTAGAAACAGATGGGATAAAGTTTATTTCCTTCATGATTGGAGCACTGTGTAAATTCTCCATTTAAATTCTTTCATAGTGAAAGTATTTGTGGGTGTGTTCTGCAGTGGAGTTCCTTCAGCAGAACTGAGCTGTGGGGTGGCACAAAGCCACGTTTAAACTTTTATATCTGATCTTCCTACTCCACACTCAAAACTACTCCAGATGACCTTGCTCCATTATAATTTTCAGATGTTTCCAACATGTTCAAGGGTATTTTTTTTTTTCCTTGCATCTTCTAGTTGGGTCATGTCCTGTATCAGATCCTTCTGCTGATTAAACTAGTACCAGGCCGGAAAGGTTAGCTTGAACTGAAGGAGGCTAATGTAGGAGTTCCTGCCAGGACTAAACTAACCATACAAGTACTATAATTCTGCAAGTAATCCCAGTTAGACTTTAAAATGTTTAAATCAAAGATTTCCTACTTCCCAGTTTGTCTGAGCTAGCTGACAAAGGGTGTGACTTGGAACAGGAGGAATAAGCTAAGTCTTTTCTCCCTAGGGTCTAAAGTTGCAAATAGGCAAAAGAGGTTGTTTTTTTTAGGCAGAGATTTCTTGCTTTTGATTATCCTCAAAGAACTTGACATAAGTTTAAGGGCTACAAGATTCTGGTGAAAAAGGAAATGGCAAACCCAAATCATTCTGTTAAAAAGCTCTAGTAAAAGGACAATAAAATAAACAGTTGTAGCTTTTGACGGTAAGTCATGACATGATCTGCCAGAGGATGGGCAATGCTATGGTCAGCCCAGTTAGAAGGGATGTGAGCTCAGCCCAGTGACAATGAGTCAGGATGCATCATCCTTCTCAGAAGAAAGTGTGCAAATTACAAAGAAGTTGGATTGCACGTGTTCTGTTATTTCAGTGGTCTAGTGGTCTCGGTTAAGCTGATTTGTAACATTTTGGGGCGACCATCTTGCAGACTTTCAATACTTAAAGGGGACTTACATAGAAAGATGGAGACTTTTTACCAGGCCCTCTAGTGGTAGGACAAAGGGTAATAGTTTTAAAACGAAAGGGTAGATGTAGATCAGATGTTAGGAAGAAACTCTCTACTGTGAGGGTGGGTGAGGCACTGGCACAGGTTGCCCAGAGAAGCTGTGGAGGCCCCATCCCTGGAAGTGTTCAAGGCCAGGCTGGATGGGGCTTTGGGCAACCTGGTCTAGTGGAGAGTGTCCCTGCCCATGGCAGGGGGTTGGAACGAGATGATCTTTGAGGTCCCTTCCAACCCAAACCATTCTGTGATTTTTATGGTTCTGTGATTCTGTCTTATCTGTTTCATTTTAGATGAATCAGTGCTATGTAAATACACGATTGAAAACCCAGAGGAAAAGAGATACACTGTGAAACACCTATTGTCAAACACAAAATACAAACTTGCGGTTAAAGCATATTCAGGTGGAGGAGAGACTCCCATTGTTGACTTTATATACATAGATACACCGTTTAACTGTGAGTATTGACTGTGGAAAATTTGTCTTCTAGCAGAAGGACCAGATGATAAAAGGCTAGAATAGTCGTCTTTTCTCAAGGGAAAATATTTACGTCGATGTAATGTGCACTTGACAAAGGATCCAAATGAGAAATGAAATGTGCATACCGACATGGCATTTTGATATTTTTAAGTAGCTATGGTTTTTATTTTAAAATTACAATAATTCTAGATCCTTATTTAAGTCTCATATCTTTCTGGGAAATAGCTTAATATATGCACATTTTAATGGCTAGTGAGTCCTGTTTGCTGGAATGCATTGAAGAATTGCATTTGGATTTAACTGGTTTTCTAATATGGGACAAAAAAGTACAGACCTATGTGCAAATAATAAAATTTCTGTATGGACACTTTAACTTCTAATGTTGATTCTTATTCTCATCGGTCTTTAAATCCATTGCCAAGTTAACTCCTTCACAAGTCAGTAAGAAAGGGTTGTTGGCTGTAGCAGTGTAGTTTGCTACAAAACAGAACAGGAAATCCCTTGCCTGTAGGTCTATTTCCTTCAACATGCTGGTCAGCAGTCGTGGTTGTGAAACTTGCAATCCAAATCAGAGATGATACTTGATTTTGAAAAATTTGTTGGGAGTGGAGGGGAAGGGGTATGAAAGGGTGAAGCATTGGCTCATGCCAGGAGACTTCATGTTTTAGGCTACCTAGCGGAACAGTGTCTAAACCCTCATGGTACCCTCACAGAAGCAGTTCTGCCTCTTACACCCCTATTCCAGCTCCAATTAGCCAGCCTTCTCTTGTGCAGGCACAGACGTTTGTACAGCCACACAGGCAATCAAAACGGGGGCTTGCTTAATTAACTCAGAAAAGATAAAAGGAGACTGTAACGTGTCCATTCCCTGCTGTGGTGTGTGTTAGGGACACTCAGCCTCGCTGGCACAGGGCAAGAGAGCATGGCCCAGGGCAGAGAGAGAGCCAGCACTAGCTTGGTGTTCCCCCTCTGCCTTTGTGTTACAGCCTCAGATGTTTGTGAAGAGCGTAGCCCAAGGCTATGTCTTCCAACCAGAAGGAAATACTGAGATTCTTGTATCAGCATAAATCCTAGGAGAGCATGGATACTTGTGTAGTGTGTGTCTTGTTATAGCCCATCCATACTGGAGGTACAGATAGTCTGTCAACGTCCCACAGTAAAAGTCTCTTTGTCTTTGGGGATCTGAGACAAAAAAAACCTAAACCAAATAGTTAAATGAGATTATTATTGTCTCAACTTTTGGAAATTTACCCTTATAGTTAAGATGCCAACATGAGGACAAATTAAAAGCAATCTAGTAATAATTCAATTTTGGTAAAGGAAATCAGGGCCCAAAGACTTACAGCTCTGTCCCAGAACTTCCAGCCAAACTATCTGGCACCCATTGACCACAGTTTTACTGCTGAGTTAGTGGCAAGTATCCTGTGTGGGCTTCATGTTATCTGTGTCCCAGAAACTCAGGCTATATTGACTTTAACAGCTGAGAAGTTGAAAACAAATTTTAAAAGTATTTTTCTTTCACAGCAAACACGCTGTACCTTCTAGCCCTGCTAGTGATAGTTCCATCACTAGCAGCAGCTATATGCCGCTGGAAGATGAAGTGGTAAGTTACAGTGCATTTTTCCGTTGTAGACAGAGAACATAACTAGTGTAATTCACAAACCATAGCTGCAGCTTGTTGTTTCCAGCCTGTTGTAAGGCCTCATTCATTTTTTCCTTTGGGTGTCCAACTGTGTGCATGTTGTATTTGGCTTGCGGCATTTCTGGGACACTCATCATCTGCTGCTCTTTCCGTACGCATCTATGTGTGGCTTCTGCTGGTAAAATATGCTCTGGTGAGAGAACAAAAACGTCATTTGTTTTGCTCTCTTATTTCCAGGCTGAAGGAGTGGTGCTGTCCTGTAATACCTAGTCCTAACAAGAGCAAAGTGCTGTCATTCAAAGAGTTTAAGGTAAGATCACTGAAAATCTAGCACTGAATTTTTCCATTCTTCGCTAGTAAAGTTTCAGAAAAATATTTTTATTGTGTTGACTGCATTTAAAAATGAGTCACATTCATTGTGCAGAAATTAATGTAATTTAATATCAGCGTTTGTGGAAAATTCTCCTTTTGATATTCATGTAATTCTGCAGTGATCAGTTTATATTCTGCAGCCTGTTACTGCAAAAAGTGAAAGCATAATTGGAAAATAAATGGAATTTTTTGATACAGTGGGTGATTCTTCCAGTATTACTGTTCAAAACCCAGCATTGTCTGAACACAACAGACCAGATGATACTGCACTTGGCTGCAGCCTGTGAACTATATCTGCGCATTCCTGCCCCATACAGAATCCCAGATTGGTGGGGGTTGGAAGGGACCGGTAGAGATCATCTAGTCTAACCCCCTGCTACAGCAGGATCACCCAGAGCAGGTTGCACAGGATCATGTCCAGGCGGGTTTTGAATATCTCCAGAGAAGGAGACTCCACAACCTCTCTGGGCAGCCTGTCCCAGTGCTTGGTCACCTTCACAGTAAAGAAGTTTTTCCTCATATTCAGGTGGAAATTCCTGTGTTCCAGTTTGTGCCCGTTGCCCCTTGTCCTGTCACTGGGCACCACTGAGAAGAGTCTGGCCCCTTCCTCAAGACACCTGCCCGTAGTGATAAGCATGAGTGAGCTCCCCTCTCAGTCTTGTCTTCTCCAGACTGAACAGCCCCAGCTCTCTCAGCCTTTCCTCATATGAGAGACGCTCCAGACCCCTCATCATCCTTGTAGCCCTCGGCTGGACTCTTCCCAGTAGTTCCCTGTCTGTCTGGAACCGAGGAGCCCAGAACTGGACACAGAACTCCAGATGTGGCCTCACCAGGGCAGAGTAGAGGGGTGCACTTGCTGGCCGTGGGGAGGACACAGGGCGTTCTGCTATCCACTGCCAGCTCTGGCTGGGAGGAAAGGATTGGCAAAACGCTTCCAGCATTTTCTGTAGGCCCTTCAAACTGGCAGCTCCTTCTTCCATGCTGCGTGCAAAGGGGAGGTGGTGGTGTGGCGGTGGGTCGCAAAACTGGGAGCATGTCTTTGCCGTGGTACATACGGGGCTGCTGATGTTTTTGCTGCTGGTGTTGGCTGAACACAAGCACCAGAGGGAGGAGCCTGCACAACCTAACAGGCAGGCTGCTGCCTTCCAGTTGGCTGTGGTTCAGACTACAAACTGCAAGCATCAAAAACCTGGCAAAGTCTTTTAAGTAGAGGGACATGGTTCCTTCGTCAAATGTAGCCATAGTGAACTTACTTAAAAAAGAAATCTCTAAATAAATACTCTGATAAATTCCACATAAAATGCAGCTTCCACTTAACATTCTGTACATTTGCTTTCCTTCAAATTCTGTTCATTTATGTGAAAAATCCAAATTTTAAAAAAAAAAAGGTAGTATTAGAAGTACTTGAAGTAATTACTCCCTTTCCTTTACTCTGGATTGCTGTCATTGAGTAATTTTTTTGTTTTATGATTCTCTTGGAGATCGGTTCCGAGAAAGTATTGGCAACAAGTGACTGCATTCCTGACATGCTAGCAGTGGACAATAAGGTGGAAGCCCAGAATTTACATCCATGGAGCCAGTTGTCTTCAAGGCCAACAGAAGATAAGATCAATGGTCACAATTCTTCCTGGATTTACCCTAATGAAAATGAAGAGAGACACTTGACACCCAGACCTACACCTCAGATGCATACTTGGTTTGAAAATTTTGCTTATTCTTCTCTCCTTTCAGCTGAATCCAATCCCTATCAAATACCAGAGACCCTAGAAGCAATCAAGCCAGAACTGGCAGCAGTGCTGTACCAGCCACACTACTACTTTGATATTTATAATGAAGATGCTGCCTCGACACCCAGAGAAGCAGCTGGCAGAAAGACCAGCTTGAGATATATTTCACAAACAGATGTGCGCTGCCTAGGGAGAAGCCTTTGATGTACCCTCCTCCATTGAATCCATGTTTGGTTAAACAATATAAATAGGAATGCCTAAAACCATAACAACTTCTCCTTTTGATGAACGCTTTCACAAGCCCAACTGTCCTTCTTCTGCTAACATTGCAAAGCTCTTGCTTCAGGACTAGTTTAAAAATACTGACTTGTGCACAGGAATGACATGTGCTATGGTTTCAGCACAAGTTACGGGCATTATGTAAGATTTACACGCTATTTTGTGGTCTATTATGTAGACGGTTTGGTCACAGCAGTCTCTCATATCCTGATGCAAAGAACTACTTCATTCAGAAAGTAGAGGAGCAAGGTAAACAAGCAAGTTTAACTTAGGTAGGTGGTTGTGCTCAAGGAGCATGTTTCAGTATTCTGTGTGCACCTTCTGTGCCCTGGCCACCCCAGCCAGCCTGTATTGCGCAGCTGCAGACGGAGCATCCCCAGCTTCTGAGTCTGCCTCAGCCCATGGGGGACGCAGGTTCTTTTTTCTGTCTCTCTCAAACCATGTAAGGAGCCAACATGGAAGGGATGCTTGCATTCAGTGTGGCACATCTCAAAGATTGGAAGGAACTGTGACTTCTCTAGGAGTGCTACCCTGTGCACAAAAATGCTACGAGCTTCCTGCTTTTACCTTCACTTGTCTTCTAACTATACTTGGTGGGTGAAAGAGCACAGAAAACAGATATTTATAGCACAGGCCTCTGTTACTGAGCTGCCACTCCCATTTCTGGTATCTGGGGCTCCTCCTACTTCTGCTTTCTCTGAAGAATGACCCTTCAAAATCCTAAACAAAATCCTCCTAACTAAACAAAGAAATGTGGGGAGTTAAGTGGAAAGGAACTGTTTTTCCAGCAGCTGTTACCATGGCACTGTCTCTCCACTTGTGCCAGCAAACTTAAATTCTGTTGGTGTTAACCCCTGCACTTACATAGCCAGCCCCAAACCATCAGCTGGTCAGGTGTATGGGTTGAGTCCCATTTCTGAGGAACATCCTATTCAGGTTGCACAGCAGCTAGATCTTACAACACTTTTGCACATATTTTAAAAAAAAGTAAATATTTTTATTGTAATGCTCAGAATCGCAGTAGGCAGCAATGAATATTGATTTTAAAAAATTGTACATTTGTAATGATGTAGACTATTTGGAATTGTACCTGAAAGCCTCATCAGATTGCACTGAGGAGGTTAAAAGGAACCCTTTGCTTTTGCCTAATTATGAAGTCTGGAATCTTCACAAATAAAAGAATTCTACTTGAGACACAGAATAAAAGCAATTCTCAAAAGGGAAAAATGAAGTGGTTTTTAGCTGCAGCTAACTTTGTTAGAATGCAGTTACTTGGCTTTCTTATGGTTAACTAATCATACTTCCTGTTCTATGGAGACATCCCAGAGAAACCTTTCCTCCCTTTGCATTACTCTCCTTTGTGTTACAATGAATTTGAGTTTCATACCACAGTATCTTCACGACTTAGAACATTTCCTTCTCCAAGGTGTTTGATCACATCATATGCACTTGTGTAGTTTTAAAGCTTTACTGCTAGAAAAAAGGCCAATGTACAGAAGGGAGATCTTTTGTCATTACTAAAACAAAGCTTCCAAGCTGTGCATTTCAGAAAAAGACCTATTTACTTAAAAAGGTTTGAAAGGTATCCTAGATCAGGAGTTACACATCTACAGAATTCCGATGCAGAAGTCAGTCAAAAGAAGTCAGACTGTCCCACAAAGGACTTTAAATTCCAACATGCTGCAGCTCCTGACGCCAAAGGCCAGCTGTAAAGAAATGCAAATGCCTGCTGTGGAAGAGGCACCATCAGGGGGCCAGGCTGCTGGAGTTCACCCCAGGGCGTGATGGGGGCAATGCAGCCAGCTGTGCCTCCTGACAGAAGGGTGACAGCAGCTGCCCAGCCCTTCCGGGGCACATCTTGCTCAGGTGGCACTTCATCGCCTGGAAGCAAGGACACACCTTACCGGGTTGCCAGACGAGGTGATGAGAAGGTGGCTCCTGTCCACTGGCAAACGCTCCTGCTCCCTGGCCGTGGCAGATGCTGGTGCATGAAACCACCTGTGCCGAAAACAAAAGGAGGGCTCCGGGGAGGATGATGCCTTTGTGCCACTCACAGGCCACAGTCCAGGCACTAGAACTAAAGATTAGAAAAGTATTTTTGCATGGGGGGGGGGGCATCTATAACTTTTTTTACTTTAAGACATCTATCTGTCTTGCATTAATGGTTGAATGAGTACAAAACTGTAAACTTCTGTCTTTTTGTTTGTAATTCAACTTTCACAGCTGTTGTTGAAATGCTAATACTTAAACCATCACATAATGGCAAATTATTAATCCTCAGCATCAGTATCCTAAATTTTTAAAATAAAAACAGTGTACAAACTATTAAAGAGTCTCCTATTTTTATAAGGCATCTTACAAAGCATTCATATAAAATATATTTTTGACAAAAAAATGTTTATTTGGAAAGCTTCAGGTTGTTCTAGTTAATTAGGAACTTACAAATATAAATAAAATTCCAACCCATTTCTAGTGCTGAGAGGTACATACGAGACCAGAACAACTATAAGAAGTTTAAGTACATTTTATTAACAATGCATCCCTTTGATAAGATTACGTTTCAGGAGGCTTTTAATGCCCATCGACATGAACTGTACACACTATACAAAAAAAAGCCAGAACCCCCCCATACACACAAAAAAAAAAATCATCAGGGTGGGCAATACCATTTTGGGACAAGCCTCTGTTTAAATTATACACAGCTCAATGCAATATTCTTACGCAAAATATATAAATACTTTTTCTTTCTATGTTACAGGTATACAATATAAATCAGATTTCAATGTCTGTTCAGTGACCTACAAACACTAGAACCTCCAAATATGTAGCAGCGTATTACTAAATAAAAAAAGACCACATGGGACAGTGAGAATAAGTCTTGAGATTTTCCTTGATCCCTTCCCTCCTCAGAAGGATTAATTTAGATAACGTCTTGTAATGCAGTTTTAGGGATGCTGACAGCCCAGTATTGGAATAATTTTTCAATTAAATCTACAAAATGTCTACCTTTTCCCCACTTTAACACTGCATCTTGTGCTAAAACACCCTATTCAGTGGCAAAATGGCATGTTACACTTTTTGGCATAAATTTCATTTCTCAAATAGAATAGTGTATTTTACAAAGCAACTCAAGCAAAATGTGCAATTTCTGCATGCTGTGGCATTGCTGTCTATGTTACAAAAATAGCCCAGAGAAAATCCACATTCTTTACTGAACACACAAATCTGTTGGAAACAAAACAATGCAGGGAACCAGAATCAGGAGTTAAATGACCAAGGAGATGGGCGGCACCTCTAGTGAAATACAAACATGGTTTCTAGCATGTTCCCAAAAGTCTTTTACAGTGCTCAGGTTTTACTCTCACCTAATATACCTTTAATAAGCACATGGTAAGAGAAGTGTTAACTTAAAGTTACGGGACCTGCTTTCAGCTGGCTCCAGTAAGGCTCCCAGTCAGAGGAGCTGAGCTCAAACCTCAGACACGCACAGAAGCCCAGCAAGAATGGTCCCACTGCGATGCTCAGCTCAAGCTCACGTTTGCTTACAAGGTAATGCCAGCGTCCTGCAATCTGAAAAGCCAAATACAGAGTCCAGGATGCAAACTAGGAAGCAGCAACAACTCTGTCATCTCTCACTAGGCTTTGATTACTGCCCATTTCTCAAATAACTACCTTTCTCTTTAGGCACCTAGTAACAGTGCTGTATGGTTTTTTCAGTCTCTCACTGCAAATTAGAACTCTCCATCAACACCACTACAAAAGTTTCAAAATAAAATGACAGAAAGACAAGCAGGTTCTCACCACCTTTCTAAAAATTTGTAAGGACAACTTACCTCACTGTGCTAAGCCACTGTGCCCTATGTTACCGAATACTTTAGCACTTTGTGGTGTCTTCGGGTAAAAATAACAAACCCCCTTGAGAGCACATTTAGGGAACCTATGTCAGGTCAAATAAGAACTGTCAGATGAGAAAAGTGACTGTTTCAAATACATGCCAAGGGCCCAACACCTCATTGCCCAACCATCTCCAGCTCTGAGTGATGTCCACGACAGCTGGGAGCACTCAGCACCTCTGAACTTCAGAGGACTGAATAGGTTTCCCTCTCTCCAGGAGGGGACCTGCAGCACCCAGCCTTGTCCCCTCCCCACTCAGTGGGGAGAAACAGGCCCTCGGGGAAATAACCAGGAGCCCTTTCCTCAGCTCTCTGCCCCTTTCCACCAGTAAAAGCAGACCAAGAAAAATCACCAGCTAACACAGCAGACCAAACACGACCAGTTTCAGAGCCAGCCTCTCCTTCACACAGGGGCTTTTGCCTCAGAGCCGAGTACTTTGTGTCAGCACGTGCAATCACTCAGGAGCTCCCTTTGCTACAGCAACCAAACTGTATTTGTATATAGTGTAAGTGAGTGCTACCTGCTTTACCATTTATTCGACAGTTTCACCAATTGTTTGGACTGGGAAAATGCAAAGCAGGTGGTCTGTCAGCTTCCCTTGCAAACTTTCCCGGGGAAGTGGAGGGATTCTTTATTAAGGTTAATACAAGCACAGTTTTTATTTACTACTGTTTTCTTTTGAAGTTTTATCATGAAGCAAATAAAACCCCAAAATAAGACCTTTCAAAGGGATATCTTAAAAAGAATTCTACAGAATTAGAAATTCACAGTTTATAACTAGGCCGATATCAAATTCCTTCAATAACAGTATCCCTTCATTTGCCAATTAAAATGAAACATTCATGTGAGCTTAATGTAAATATGTAAATTAATTCTAGAAATGTTGTATGTTATGTACAGTACAGACTTTACATCCTTGATGCATACTTGTTGAAATCTACTGACACTCATACACTTTCAGAAAAAAAAAATCATCACGTTTTGTAACTGAATTTGCAGCCTTAATTTGTACGTCAAGTTTCTGTCATGGATCCCCACACAAGCAAGTACTTCAGAACACGTAAGCATTTCAGGATACAGATTCTTTCAAAAGTATATTGACATCACTTTTGCTTACCTTTTTATAATTAGAAGCCTTCCTATAGCGCTTCCTACATTAAGTGCTATGGGTTAAACTGGTAACAAATGAACAATGGTGGTTTGGTTTCTAATACAGGTGACAAAACTTGTTTATTTTCCTTTAACTGCAGAAAAATAATATGGAGTTGTTTGATGTAACCCCATCTAGTTATTAAAACAAATCTCTTATACTCTAGCCTAACTGAGGTAGTGTTTGGAACTACTGTATAAGATATGCTAGCCCCATTTTTGGGAAAACTACATTATTTCCTTTGGAGTTTATACCACTATTTGGTCTACTGTGATTGACATTTTGGTTTTACAGAAGCATTTATTTCTTATGATCAGAGAAGTCCAATAGTTACTGGTGTGGTATGTTTTCAGAGCATTTCAAACATGCCTTGACACACACATATATTACTTGTGTCACTGACCACAGAAGCGCTGAATCAGTTTATTTTTGCTCCTTCTTTAAGCGGGAACTCATGAAAAGATAATCTTAGGAACCAAATTTGACTATGAGCAGCAATTTACAATTTGCTTTACCAGAAAGTGATGGTATGCAGTGCACATAAGAACGCAGTGAAGTGAGAGCTGCAAAGCAGTGGCAACGTGAAATTTCCAATAAGAACAAATAAATTCTACATTTCACTAGGAACCATGTTTTACTCTTCACAGGACTATTTACTGAAATCTCCAGTAGCACAGCTAGTAAGAACAGAGTTATGAGCATCAGGATAAGTTTCACTTATCTTCACTTAAGTATTAATCTGACTATTATAAAAAATGGTAGAAGTGAATGGATAAAAATACGTTCTACTTAGTACAGTCCAGCTGAATTATTCACCTATATCAAAATCAAAGGGTAATCCCTTCTATTACAGCCATTCTAACAAAGGTGGCCATGCTACTGTATATACACATTTGCATATATTTATATTACCTTCGTATAAAGGCTTCTGAATCTTTAGGTCCATGATAAAATTGATGGGGATTTTTTTTAAGCTTGCATTCATGAATTTAGAAACCTCACTAGTAACGTGATAGAGGCAACTATTTCAGCCATTAACAGTCACTGTATCATTTAAGTTTTGCAACAAGTCTTAAATACCAATATAAAATTTTAAAGTACTGCTGCTCGAAAATTTGGTACTTAAGGCGTTTCACTACAATTGGTACTATCTGATGCTTGATCAGTCATCCATTGAAAATTCAAATAAACCTTCATTTTTATAAAAGGCTGTTTCCATGGAACTTTGAAAACACTCATATTATGTATTCTCACAAAAGCAGCAATGATTAAATGTCTTCAAGTTTAGTTTATACAATATTCATTTATCTGATACAAATCATGCTTTTTAAAGGATTTTAGTTAAGAGTAAGACCCACATTTGTACTATATGAGCATGAGTGTAGAAACTGCAAACACATGCATATCATTCAGGGAAAACAATGTGATTTCAGCATTTTAAGTTCAAATGATTTGTTATTTTTAAAATCAAACTGTAGTGAAAATCCTTAACTGGTTCAGGTAAGATACATGTACGTAAATGTAATGAAATTGGAGAGACTGATAATAAAATGACTTACAACTATAGCAACATTAAATTAACTTAAAGGAAACCTCAGATTCAGAGAGGCTTTTCTTTCTGTCTGAAGTTACAAACCCCCAAGTAGTGTTATAAACAGTACAAAAACCAAGAGAGAAGGGCTAACATCAATCCCCTGGTGTCCACGATTACAGCATGGCTCCCTGCTGCTGGCAATGGAACACACCATCATTTCTCTGATTCCCGGTATCCAGCGGTTAAAAAGCAAGGCATAATTCTGCTTCTCTGGAACAGAATCAGGAGTCAATCAAAAAAAGATGTCTCTGCATGTTGTCCTGTTTTTAATTTATGGTAGAAAATGAAATGAAAACTTGTGGAGGTGTTCAGTGCTCGGCTCTTGCATATACTGGTAATTACTATTATTAAAACTATGGTAATGTTTAATAACTCCCCAAAGGGCTCAAAAGACTGGGGCAATAATTGGTTGAGGAAGAAAAAGTTTTCAGTTCAGTCTTCAGGTACCAGTAGCTTCTGGAACGGTCTAGAAGACAATGCTCCAAAGCTTTTTTTTTTTAATCCAGTCAGTCAGAGGTTGTCTGAGGATTTCAGAAAGTCTATATGCAATGAACTGCACAACACAGAGGTCAGGATTCAGCTGATGCATCGATTACTGGTTGTTTTGTTGGTGTTGCTAAAATAGCCTCTGCTTCTTCATGCATCTAAAAGAAAAGCACAGACGAATTATTAATGTTAGTAGAGATTTTACTAGAAAGACATCATAGAATGGTTTCCTTTAAGACATATCTGAAAGCATTCTGGACATGAAACCAGTACCCAGCTGGCACATTTTGGTGCATTCAATGCATTTGAACTCTCCACTTACTTGTAAGAACTGTACATCTTGAAAGAGCTCCTGAATGAACCTTCGAGATGGAAGTCGAAATGTACAATGTGCTAACAAGTAGGACACCTCAGAGTACAGACATATGTCATCAAATGCTTGGGGATACTTCTCTTTAATTCTGAAAAAGAGAAAACAACCCAAAATTCATAAGCCTTGAACAGATTTCCATCCTATTTAAAAAAAAAAAAAAAGTTCAATTAGATTTTGATAGCCATCATTAACAAAGCAGAACTTTTCAGTAATAGGCATTATAAATTCTGTCTCTGACAAAGCAAGAAAATCAGAACAGACAGCATTATGTTGTACCAAACTGGAAGAAATCTCTACTAAATAGATGAAATAGAATATGTATTTGAAACTTGTACAGAATCACCGAGATCACCTAGTCTTAAAATAGATGTAGAAAGAAAACAGTATATCAAAGAATTGGCACCCACATGTACAGCAGTAATAAAAAAAAAATATAGAAAAGTTAACTTAATCACCTGTAAGCATTTTTAAAAACTAAACCAAGCATTTCTGTATTTTCTTTTTAGCAGTTATATGTCAGTTTCCAATGTACTGAGCCCAGAAACCCACAGGTTTTATTATAACATTTGGGCCCTGGATTTATATTCCTGTATTTTAACACGGTTTTTTTTTCCCTATAAATTAATTCCAGTAGTTGTACTTTTGCTCAAAGCAGATTTGTGTTTCTCAAGAAGCCAGTTTCAGTTTGTTATCCTGCTTATCAGATTATATTATTTGGCACAAATAACAAAAAAGAATTATCATTTCTTTTTAAAATGATATGTAATATACTGGGTATGTAATGAAATATCACTATAGTTGAATTACTAATTTTAAAGAGACAGAAAGAGTAAGAAACTAAAGACAGAGCAAAAAAATATTAAAAGGAAAATGATTTTCTTAGCTTTTATGTTATATTTAATCATTCAATCACATCTGCTTGACAATTTTCTGAGAAGCCAGAAGTAAGGTTAATCACTATCCCAGAGATCTTAGAGAACACATACAACTAAACATTGCTAAAAGATCAGAAATGTATTATACTTACGTCAGGAGTCCAGTTTCATGGCCCTTTGTTCCTACTGAACTACTCAAATTGATTACTAAACGTAAGACTTCTTTCCGCAGAAGTATTCTGCACACTGGTGTATCATCTGGGATGGATTTTACTCCTGGAAAACCAAAATGAACAGTCTGGAGTTTAAACAGAATAGTCTTTGGTAGTGCTAATCTTATGCCATATAAGTCTGTTTTAGCATTCCATAAAGACACATAAGTATTTATGTATGTATTCTGAACTATCAACAAATATTTCCATTGAAATTAAAACTTTAAAAAAGATACTATTTTCAGGAATTTTAACACAGAAATATTTTTAAAGGTAAACTGCCACTTCATAAATAGAAAGACCTGTGGGATTCAATTACAATGCTGTCTTTACCACTAAATCATGTGGTGATTTACTGGTAGTGTCTACCACTACATCATGTGGCAAACTGGGCGAGTGATTACCTGCTCTGTTTCTATCAGATGCTGGAGAAGTTAGCAACCAGTTACCTTCATAAGAAATTATGATAATTCAAAATGTGAAAGAAAAGCCTAAAAAACCAGAAGTACCTTTCTCTTTACAGAAATTCAATTTAAAAAAAAAATAAATTAAAAATTACTAACACCAGCATGGAAAAAAAGGTAATCAATTTGCTTGTCAAGTCAGATACAGAATTATTTAATAACCTGCAGAAATCCTGTATAGGAAAAAGAAGAAAAATTTAGAAGTATGTTCTCCCATCTGCCATTGTGACAACTGCACACAAAAGATTAAAACCAACAGTGTCCGCTTATCTCTTATGCGAACATCGTGGATAGAGATCCGCAAGGTTGGCATGCAAGGTTGGCAGCTGAAGGAGGGAGTCTTATGGCAGCAAGATGGCCCTGTTTTGGCTAGAGAACGTGGAATAAACAGATAGACGGTTTCTACACAGAAGGCCACAGTGCCTGGAGTGAGACCTTTTGCTTCATTATCCATGAAATGAATGTTCAAAGTTGACACCCCTAAATATGATAACGAGCTAAAAGGAGTACATGCTAAACCTATACAACTATAGTACTCTACTCTCCACCCAAATGACGTTAAACGTCACCCCAGGGAGGGGACAGCTAAGACTGGGATATTGAGGATATTGAGGAAAGTACCCCTGGGGAGAGAGAGAAGAGACTGAAGACTCTGAAGAGGCGGTCGACAGGCTGTGCTCCTTCTCCTCCACCCAAGATAGGGACGTCTTCTTGGTAAGCACTGCAACTTCACCTTCTGGTGAAGAATACCCGGGACAGTACTTTGCTGGCATTATATTCATATACTAGTGCTACTGCAGTAAGTGTATTTATCAATGGCAATTCTGAACTTTCTGTTGCTTTAACAAATTACCTATTCTTTCTCAACTTTGCAGAACTGTCTCTGAAAGTTCTTTAGGGGGCTCTGACAGGCAAACGTTGACTCTGATGGGTGGCTATATATAAACCTTCAGATATAAACTGTTGACCAAGTCTGGAACTAAGACTGGACCTAGCCGCACCTAGGCTCCTCTCTGAGAAAGAGTTTAGAAAGCAAGGGGGTCCCTTCTGAACCTTGTGACTCAACGAGAGGGCCTGCCTCACCCACATGTCAGACTCACACCCTTTAACGCAAGAGCCATAACCACGGACAATGCAATTACCTTCCTGGATAACAATTAAATCATCCAAAGGTGGCTTTTTTTTTGGGATGTTGTTTTTATTCTTTTCTTTTGTGGTTTTTTTTTGTTGTGTTTTGGTTTTGGTTTTTTTTTTAAATAATGAGCATTACTTTGGTACAGTATGTATAAATGAAATAACACTATTTTCCACAAAATCTAAACAAATACTTGAAGAGTTATAGTCTCTAATACTCATAAAGCTTTCAAACTTACCTAGTACAAGTTCTGTACTCTTGGTGCTGCTAGCTGAACCATGGGATACCGCATCACTACAGCCTGAAATTCCAGAAAATTTAGAGGAATGCACATCTAAGTGATTGTGTATGGTTTGCCCACACCAGTCAGTATATGGAATGTCTGAAAAATCTGACATAAACACATAAACAAGATGTTGCATCTTTGTTATTCACACTTTTCCTCTCTTCAAATGCTTTGCCTATTTTTCAACAGCAGTAAGCATGCAAGACACTGATGCACTATGTACTGTACGTATAAACCACCTGGAAACTGGATGTCGGATTTTGAACAAATCATATTCAAAATCTCTAAAAAATAACTTTTTTGAATCTTAAAACACTTGAGTGAAAACTATAAACTCTCAGACACTAATGGAAGCCTAGAAACAGCAATCACACATAGAGCTCTTACTGATATATCCGTGCTCTGTTTTATGTAGCATAATAAAGTTGCTCTTGCATATGCATTATTTTTTTGCTCATATAATTTTCAAGGGTGTTGCAGAAAGGGCTCTGACTTCATCCACAGAAGATGTGTCAGGTAAGATTCTTCCAGGAGGTTTCACTCCAGAATGAGAATGCCTTTGGCATTATGGATGTAAAGATATGAATATAAAATTCAAGTTTTTAATTGTTGTGCAGTTAACAGAACCAAGAAAAACATAGGTCTGAAGGGACTTTTGGGGATCACCTAGTACAATCCCCTGTTCAGAGAAGGGCTCACCTCAGAACTGAGGCCAGGTTACACTGTAAGAGTCTCCCCTTACATTCAACTGAAATTTCTATTCCTACAATACATGTTCATGGCCTCCCATCCTTCAGCTGTGTGCCTCTGACAAAAGCCTGGCTCTCCCACACCTGTAACCCCCCTATGCTATTTGAAGACTACAACTGGGATTTTATTTGCCATTCCTTCTGAACACTGAACTCAAGCTCAAACTCAAATCTCTGGCCCAATCCTCACATTTTGTACATCCTCCTCCTTGCCAGCAGTACTCTATGGGATACTACCTGAATGTGTAGCACTGTTGTAAAACAGTCAGAATTCCTAAGCATCCATTACTGGATTATATTTTTATTACAGACATTGCAAAAAAGCATATAACTGCAAGCTCTGCAGAGGAGGTTAGATAAAAAAATAATTCTGACTTTGATCTGAATGTCAAAATCTGAAGAAACATTACTAAATCCCAGAAATTACAGCTCAGCTTCAACAGACTCCTCATGAAAAAATCACAGAATGGTTTGGGTTGGAAGGGACCTTAAAGATCACTTAGTTCTAAGCCCCCTGCCATGGACAGGGACACCCTCCGCTACGCCAGGTTGCCCAAAGCCCCATCCAACCTGGCCTTGAACACTTCCAGGGAGGGGGCATCCACAGCTTCTCTGGGCAACCTGTGCCAGTGCCTCACCACCCTCACAGTAACAAATTTCTTCCTAACATCTAATATAAATCTCCCCTCCTTCAGCTTAAGGCCATTACCCCTTGTCCTATCACTATGCTCCCTGATAAACAGTCCCTCTCCAGATTTCTTGTAGGCCACTCCAGGTACTGGAAGGCTGCTCTAAGGTCTCCCCAGAGCCTTCTCTTCTCCAGGCTGAACTGATTTCCTTTGTTTTGTTTTATGGTACAGACTTGAAGTCAGATGTTTCATGAATTTGACAGCAAGCATCAGTTTTCAGGACATGGATTTTAAGTACTAAATGAGGTTTCAAATTTTGTATTTTGATAAGGTCTTTGAAATATTAAAAAAACCCACAAACATGCAGGCATCTAGTCATACTAATATCACTAGAAGTCACAAAGATGGAAATGACCATAGAAATACCACTGGTTGCACAGTGAGCTTATTAGAGAGAATTAATTTCAAGGTGAATAGTCAGTAAGAAAAAACTTCCAGATTAATCAATTTTAAAGATGAACAAGTTTCAATATTTTTGTCCAGTTTTATCACACCTCCCCACAAGGAACACTAACCTGTACGACTGTATGAAGAGTTCACCTTGTTGTTAGGCTCATAACCCAGTACTTGAACGCAGACACAATAAAGGCAGTTCTCATCTGTGTGCTCTTGTAGCCCTGTATCCTCTGTATTTTCTAAAAACTGAGAGGCATCTAAACGGCTAGTATTCATTATTTCTGTAAGACTGATCTGCTGTCGGAGCATCTGAAAAGGGCTTTTGACAACATCACTTGTACCTGATGGAAGACCTGTACATAAGCAATTAGATGTCAGAAAAAACCCAAACCCCAAGCCCAAGCAACCAATTATTTCAACTAAAATTCCCTGAGCTTTTCAAAGCTGGGGAGGATGTGTGTGTGAAGATCTAGAAATCTTTTTTGAGTGGCTAAGCACCCAAGACTTTTAGCATTCAGGAAACAGACACCACATTTTAGTCCCAGCTTATCATATATAACAAAACATTGCGAAGGACAGAATTCAACCTCTGTACACACATACTGTAAACACATACTCTAAGACGACAGGTGGTAAATCATGACATTATATCAACATTAATAACAGTAACACCCTTGTAACACTAAGAAGTTATGAATTTTCATAGTATCAAACAAGATTAGTACAATATACCAGATGTTTAAGTGACACATGCACCAATGAACCCAGAAACACAATTAAAAAACCCTATGACTTAGTGCCTGTAATAGCAATAAACTAGTCAACAATGCAGAAACAAGCTGAAAACACTTTAGTGACATGCTCTTCCCTGGGTGGAAAATATCAAACAAATACAATTTTGAATAACAGTTACTTTACACTGAAACCTAGCAACGACTGAAAAACAGTTGCAGGAAAATCAGCTTTATGTATTACGTTAACGACACAAAAGAAAACATAAAATAAGTAAGGTATGTCTATTTGGATGTTCCAAGTGCTTGTAGTAAAAGTTCCAGTTAACTAGGAGGCAAGACAACAACTATCTACGCTACTTTAGGATCAGTTTCACTGCTTCTTTTTCAGTTGTCCTACTGAAAAGACACATATTGCAATCCTACAGATTTCTTGACTACCCTGGAGTAAAAAGAAAGAGCATTCCAGAACAAGCCAGGCACTACAGAGAACTTGCAATTCTCTTGCATCATGGCCCATCACCTCCGCTGATCAACTGTCACAGCGACATCACAGATGTGTAATTCAGAAAGTAAATTTTGTCTAGCACCTTTATTGGTTCCTATAAATTCATGTGTAATCAAAGGGAAGTCAAAATGTAACAGCTCAATATGTATGTGGCATACATATTTTGTCTTAGCTTAAATTTTATTACTTACTTTAATGCAGTATCACTACCAGTCTTAGATTAGCATTAGCTCACATTATAATCAAAGATATATAGACTTTCCTCCTTTGTTTATCAGAGTGGGCCCAAGTTTATGTTGCTCTGAAGCAACATCACATTCTCTTAAACTAATAAACCAGGGAATTAATGGCCTGCTATCCTAAATCCAGAACACAGCTATCAAAACTTAAACAGCTAAAGATAACCTTTCCTGTAAAGAAATATCAACAAATAAACCAACATCCCACTCCACCCTATGTACAAATAAACAACAGAAAGGTACAGGAGAGGAACAAAAACAGTACCTCCTGCATCAGGTGCAAACACCCTAGCTCCACGGTCATCAAAAGGAGGCGTGGTTTTCTTCTGGAAATACGGAGTTTCCTTTACCTGGAATATTCATGTGAAAATTAAAATTAGCACAGGTGATAAAGGAAAAATAGATTTTATGAGGAAAGAAAGCGTTGTCTATTTTTTACTTCAGGAAAAAGATCTACTTAGATGAAGAAGTTAAGAATGGGCTCCTGAGTACTAAAGAAAAGCCAATGAGAAAAACATGCATTTGTGAACAAACGTTTCTTATGCAAGATTTATGAATAGTTAGTACATGTTAGCATATAGTGGTGACAGGCTGTGAGGAAACCAGTGACCCAGAAGTGTCTCAACTCTGCAAAGAGTTGAGACAAGAAATGAGGCAACATAAATACGTCACAAAGACTCTGAAGGAGAAAGAAAAAGTAATTTCATAAAGGGCAAACAGAAGCAGGTATGATGCAAAAAATCTTGCCTTTGTTCTAGCTTTAGTAATTTTTCAGGATTAGTAAGTAATTTTTATTTGAAATGCAAAGACTAAGTAAACTAAAGATAAGGAAGACCACTGATTTACCTTTGACATAGACCATGTCCTGGTTTTGATAATTAAGTAACAGAATATTAAACCCCACGATGCATCAGTTGAGAATGTGTTTTAACAAAGTAGAAGGAGGAAGGCAATTGATAAGACACTTAAAATAATCTGGTTTAACTTAGATATATACATCTGTGAGGTTAAGTAAAGACAATATGATTTAATGCTATGATGATGTATATACACACAAAGTAATATTTAATCCAGATTATGGTAGCAGGAATTTAACTGTACAATTATGCACACAATCATTTATGATTGACCAATGAACATATCCATTAGTTGGCTAGAGAGGTATTAACAAATGTCCACAGACTGTGCTAATTTATAAAAGCTAGCTGTCAACTAAAAATCTTATGACAGCATATTTTTGCTACCATTGTTCAACACTCTAACCTAGTCTGTGTCATTATTTGCTTAATAATACAAAACAGACTAGGACTTTCTTTAAACAGAGTTAGAAAAGAAACTCTTGTTCTCCAAAATACATTCCTTGGAAGTTCCACAATCCACTTTCCCTCATTTCTCTAGATCTAATCTATTCTGATGAAAATGCAACAGTTGACTACCTTTCAGTATGAAAATGCAAATGAACCCATTAAGTTATCACATACATACCTGAAATATTTCATTGATATCCACTGGGAGAGCAAGGCCAATGTAATCATCAGAGCTACCATATGTAGCATTAGAAACCATGGAGCGAACAGAAGAGGAACGGTGAAGTGTGTTTTGGTTAATAGGACTTAATAAGTCTTCTTTATCTAATGAAGCATAACTTAAAGCTTTCATGAACCTGTAACATTGAAATAATAAATCACAACATTGGTAAATCTCTCGTTCTGGCACATTACAAGAAAGGAGGACTCCTGACACAAAGACTCTACTCATTTTACTCTTGTAGAGCCCAGAGCTTGTTACTCTGTCAAATTACAGCTATAGGCTCATTGTTTTTTTCTGTCTCACTGTAAAAATATAGAAGCTTAGCTATAAGAAAACTTATATTAACTAGAAAACTGCTTAAGGCCTAGAACTGTTTTAAAGCCTGTAATCGTGGGAAAGGGGTTTGTAATCAAGGTAATAGGTAATGAAGCTAACTGACCATGGCAACGTACAATGCTGCTACGTTCCTTGTACAGTCCCTACCCAACCGGACAATAGGCCCGGGAATATTAATCTTATGAAGTAAGTTGTAAGGGACAAGTGTATCCACAGCGAGGATACTGCGCATGCCTGCAAGAAGAGGGTCATCCAGCGAACACGGGTGCGAGACCACTGACGACCACCAGAGACCCCTGAGGACCACCAACTCAAATCACTGAGCATGCGTGATGGGGAGGAGAATATGGAAACGGATTCCAAGAAATTATTATCATGGGACTGCCTTTTCTCGGAAAAATAATGAATATGTATATTTTGATTCTATATAACCTGTATGTTGGTGGTCACCTGGCATGCACGTTTGGTGGAGCTATTTCCCCCGTGCATCCAGCACTGCAATAAAGCAAACCTAGGGTAACTCACGTCTGGTAGAATTTTTCTTTTACAGATGGCGACCCAGATGGGACCCTAGGACGCAAGAGGAAGAAGCACCAGTTAATTCTCTGGACAAGCCCGTGACCAACGCTTGTTGCCAGCAAAATAGGTGAGTTCACCTAAGAGACTTG